TATCTTAAATGAAAGGTTATGATAGTTGATATCAATAATTATGCAGTCAGAAAGCGATATTCAAGTAACGTTTGTTTCGTCGTGCTCTCCGTCACAGCCAGTGTTCGTTGTTCTGCTTTCGGCATTCATTATCCTTCATACTGGTTGATCGTTGTTTTCAATAAGTTATGAAGAGATGGACATTTTTCTCTCGGTCATACATTTCAACGATGTCAAAATGTCGGAACAAAAAATGCCACTTTTGCATGCATATCACTCTCCAGCTAAGGATCTAACTGGGCACTATTATTCTGTATCTCCTTACGAAAATACCAGTACTTTGCGTTACTTTTGCTTTTGCGCTGACTTATCACTCTCAAATTGTATTGAGTTAATGAGTTTGTTGCATCTGACCAAGCATGTTAAAGGGCCTTCTACAAGATCGCTGATTACTCCAGATTGTTCCCCATGAATGCGGTCCAGTTGAATTTGAAGCTGCCTGAATTTATACTCAGGATTGTTTCTGCACTGCCTAGTCCCTTGCCACTTCTCCCACTGCTTCCATTTTTCAGTGAAGTTATAAACGTCTGCCGACATCTGTGTTTCATTAGTTGACTCAAGAAAAACGTTCTTTCATGTCAGATATCTCAAAAGAACTTGCGATTTATATAAATCGAGTTACAATGAGCTGATAGATTGCGCAGTCTTCTAATTATTAGTTATAAGATTCATTTTCAATGAAATAATTCTTATTTGCAGCATTGACCGCGCTATACGTGACGTTACAAAAGTGGTACAAGCGACATTGGGTGATAGCGCAGTGGAAGAGCGTTGCAGTGGAACAGTTAAGGATTCATTACAGAATAAGGTGCTTGATGTGCTCGATTTGCACACACTTGAAAGATCGTTATCGGAAATTGTGCGAACGGTACGAGACGCTGAATCGGTATGTATGTTTTCCCTTATGCTTATGCTTATGCATGGCTGTTGCCTCTGTTGTACATCTTGAATTTGACTTTTGCCATTTATCTGTTTTGTCATTTTCAGCCGCAAAAGCAGCTATTGGCGAGAGCAGTAGTTCAAAGTAATTTCATCGATATTTTGACTACACTGATATCCTGCGCGTCTAACGGTGACACACTAATGTCATCAAGGTAATGATTTCGAAGACAGCTTGGGTTGTTGGAGGAAAAAAAAGGCTTTAAGAACGGCGGGTAGGGAGTTGTCAGTTTTCAAGCGTTTCGCCGTACATTGCTAGAGCGCTGCAACAGGCAGCAAAAACGCGTATTGCAACGACCCTGGCTATATTTATATATGTTTATGTATGTGTGTTTTTACTCAGCAACCGCGCAAGTTTTGATGATTAGATTTCATCAGTGTGCTCCCTGGCAGGACCTTAAGAAAGTGATATCAGTTATCACGTACGTCTGTATCTCACGTACGGGCATGTGAAAGTTTTGGTGGGAAAACTGCTGACTCAGGAACGCGAAGAGCTAGAAAGCTGGAACTTTA